CATCCCTCCACGGATGTTCGTCTTCGGTGGGGGCATAAGTAACCACGACCACCACTCCTCACCTCTGGTTGATGGGAAGGCGAGCCCAAAGTAGTCTGGGGCTTACCGCTTCAAACGCCTCACCGCCACGCTCCCACGTCCCCTTCATTCTTTTATTCAAAAGAAGAACCACTCCCTGTTGTTTGACAGTCTCCTGCCCCGAGTAGAGGACTGTCCACCCGTCATGGTGGCAGGAGCCAGACCCAGTCCACCTGAATACCACAGAGATCCAGGCGGTACCGGACCAGCTCCCGACAGAGGAGTGGCAGCCTCTCCCCCGGGGCCTCCGGCACAAGCTAATTAATTATATATTTAATTGAAGGTTACCAGCCCTTCGCACCCGTCCAGAGCCCCCATTTGGCCGCTGTGGAGGTTTCAAACGCCATGAGGGGAAAGGCCAATCTGAATTGGCCCTCACCACACACACAGGTACAAAGACAAAGACACCCCGTATAGCCTCGACTGACTTTTGGGGCAAGTGCTGTTAGCGAGTAGCAGCACCTATGAAGGCCGGCACAGTGGCACACGAAGGGGTGGGTGGCCAGCACCAACGCCAGGTCCATATATAGAAATACACACGCAGAAACAGTGTGTGTAGTGTGTGTACTGTGCGTACTGTGTGTGTGTACTGTGAGTTTAATATGTAGGCAGATGTCACGAGCAGATGTTACGAGTAGAAATCACAACGTCACTAGACGTCACGAGTCACGAGTAGACGTCACGACGTCACTAGACATCACGAGTTGACGTCACGAGGCGACGTCACGAGCTGACGTCACGAGGCAACGTCACGAGTCACGAGGCGACGTCACGAGTTGCCGTCACTAGACGTCACGAGTCACGAGTAGACGTCACGAGTAGACGTCACTAAACGTCACGAGTTGACGTCACGAGACGACGTCACGAGTCACGAGGCGACGTCACGAGTTGACGTCACGAGACGACGTCACGAGTCACGAGGCGACGTCACGAGGCGACGTCATGACGCTACGAGTGACGAGTAGACGTCACGACGTCACTAGACGTCACGAGTCACGAGTAGACGTCACGAGTTGACGTCACGAGGCGACGTCACGAGTCACGAGGCGATGTCACGAGTTGACGTCACTAGACGTCACGAGTAGACGTCACGAGTAGACGTCATGACGTCACGAGTCACGAGTAGACGTCACGTGGCGACGTCACGAGTCACGAGTGGACGTCACGAGTCACGAGTAGACGTCACGAGTAGACGTCATGACGTCACGAGTAGATTTGTCCTGGCACACGGCAGACCGGACATCATTCCAGTGGCATTGACCACCACGGCCGCCACTGGAATCGGCCGCGATGGATACGAAACGACCGCCTCGTGCTGCTCATTTTATATATAAAAAATATAAAAATATATAATGAAAGCCCCTTCATTTGTGACCAATTCCTCAACGGTAGCTCATGCATTTTTAAAACTAATGTCTGCGGTGGGGGTTTTATTCTTCTGCTGCTTCCGCTGCATGCATTTGAGGAGCGCTCTTTCAAGGGCTCAATAATGGATGGAAGTGCATTAAGCCTCTCTGCATGAGCCGCGGATATTCTCTGCAGGCTGAATGGGGGATAGCGGTGTGTGTGGTGTGTGTGTGGTATCTGTGTGTGGTGTGTGTGTGTGGTGTGTGTGTGTGGTGTGTGTGCGGTGGTGTGTGTGTGTGGTGTCTGTGTGTGGTGTGTGTGTGGTGTGTGGTGTGTGTGTAGTGTGTGTGTGGTGTCTGTGTGTGGTGTGTGTGTGGTGTGCGTGTGTGGTGTGTGTGTAGTGTGTGTGTGGTGTGTGTGTGTGGTGTGTGTGTTTGGTGTGGTGGTGTGCGTGTGTGGTGTGTTTGGTGTGTGTGTGGTGTGTGTGTTTGGTGTGTGTGTTGTGTGTGTGGTCTCTGCGGGAGTCTAAGGGTCTCTGTGTGAGTCTATGGGTCTCTGTGTGAGTCTATGGGTCTCCGTGTGAGTCTATGGGTCTCTGTGTGAGTCTATGGGTCTCTGTGTGAGTCTGTGGGTCTCTGTGTGAGTCTATGGGTCTCTGTGTGAGTCTATGGGTCTCCGTGTGAGTCTATGGGTCTCTGTGTGAGTCTATGGGTCTCTGTGTGAGTCTGTGGGTCTGTGTGAGTCTATGGGTCTCTGTGTGAGTCTGTGGTCCTCTGTGTGAGTCTATGTATCTACAGTACATATGTTGAATTTTTTTCGCACCGTACGTAACCAACTGTATTAATCGCAGGGGCGAATGCATTTGTATGCCAATTTCTCTTACTCATGGGTGCGTGTGTATGTGCGTGCGTGTGTGTATATGTGACCCGTGGCACCTAGGTCTGCCCCGTGACCTCCTACCAGCGGGCGTTCGACACTTCACGTGGCCTCAAGGTGCACATGGCCTGGCACAAGCGTCGTGGTGACGTCACCGCCACTTCGTGGCGAATGGCGGTTGTTGTTGTTGTGTATGTGCGTGTGTGTATCTGGATTTAAAAGGTACGCTTTATCATTCAAGTTGCTCGTGTCCTGTGCTCTTACTTCGGCAGCTAATGGTGTTTAATATGTGAGGTGTATGTGGCATGTGTTTTGTTCTTATGGGGAGCGGTGGCGCAGTGGTTAGCGCACTGCGCTATGAACCTAGCGCCCCAGGTTCCATTCCCGCTCACGGCCAACACAACCGTGACGATTATCTGAACCGGTCCTGGGCCTCCCCTAGGTAGACTCAGCCTCAAATTAGTACCTGGTGCGGTGTGTAAACATCGCAACTGGGGAGACAAAGGCGGCCGGGCGTGGTGCTGGCCACCCACCCCCTCTTGCGCCACGCGGGGCCTTCATAGGTGCTCCTCGCTAACAGCACTTGCCCCAACAGTGTGATGAAGGCTACACGGGGAGCTTTGTCCTTGCGTGCGTGTGTATTTTGGTGCATCTGTGTAACGGATACGTTTTGAATTTAATTGTATTGTTTGCAACATTGTCCCCTCCTAGAAGACAGTCACGACACAGAGGCTTTCGTGGGTAAATTATGCAGAATATTAATAGTCTATACATTGTATTCGACTACTCTGAGGCAGGGCCATTGCCCGAAACGTCGCCTATTGTATATTTGTCCTATTAAGGCCCCACAGAGTGCCGTTGACAAATGTGTTGCGTCTTTGTTTAATTTAAAGTCGAACATTTTCCGTGCTTTATTTACTTGGGCCTCTTTAAATATTCGGGGCCTCTCTCCCACATCTCACCACTCGGGGTCAAGCCAAGCTGACCGCGGATTACAGGAGTCGCGGATTACTGGAGTCGCGGATTACAGGAGTCGCGGATTACAGGAGTAGCGGATTACAGGAGTAGTGGATTACTGGAGTGGCGGAATACAGGAGTCGCGGATTACAGGAGTCGCGGATTACTGGAGTCGCGGATTACATGAGTCGCGGATTACATGAGTTGCGGATTACTGCAGTAGCGGATTACAGGAGTCGCGGATTACAGGAGTCGCGGATTAGATGAGTCGCGGATTACAGGAGTCGCGGATTACATGAGTTGCGGATTACTGGAGTAGCGGATTACAGGAGTCGCGGATTACAGGAGTCGCGGATTAGATGAGTCGCGGATTACAGGAGTCGCGGATTACAGGAGTAGCGGATTACTGGAGTCGCGGATTACAGGAGTCGCGGATTACTGGAGTCGCGGATTACATGAGTCGCGGATTATTGGAGTCGCGGATTACATGAGTCGCGGATTACTGGAGTCGCGGATTACTGGAGTCGCGGATTACTGGAGTCGCGGATTACATGAGTCGCGGATTACTGGAGTCGCGGATTACTGGAGTCGCGGATTACAGGAGTCGCGGATTACTGGAGTCGCGGATTACTGGAGTCGCGGATTACAGGAGTCGCGGATTACTGGAGTCGCGGATTACAGGAGTCGCGGATTACTGGAGTCGCGGATTACTGGAGTCGCGGATTACTGGAGTCGCGGATCACAGGAGTCGCGGATTACAGGAGTCACGGATTACTGGAGTCGCGGAATACAGGAGTCGCGGATTACAGGAGTCGCGGATTACTGGAGTCGCGGATTACAGGAGTCGCGGATTACAGGAGTCGCGGATTACTGGAGTCGCGGATTACAGGAGTCGCGGATTACAGGAGTCGCGGATTACTGGGGTCGCGGATTACTGGAGTCGCGGATTACTGGAGTCGCGGATTACTGGAGTCGCGGATTACAGGAGTCGCGGATTACAGGAGTCGCGGATTACTGGAGTCGCGGATTACTGGAGTCGCGGATTACAGGAGTTCTGTTGTCGGGTAATCGGATCGATTATCGGTAGACCAATCGATTACTCAAAATGATGGATAGCTCAGCTCTGGTGTCTAGATGTAAAGAATGCTGCGTCACGATTAATTAACATTAACCTCACCCAATGTATTGTATCAGACGACTTATACACATTAATATTGTAATATTGTTGCTATGAATGTTAATGTGTGATGACGTCTTGCATATATTAATAATTTCCAACGTATAAGTGTCGTGAGAATTATTTTATTATGTTTAATTTTTATTATTTTATTACTTCCATTCTAACGCGACTTCACCGAAAGAACCAAGAAGATGAATCCCTGCACTCACGAACGCTTTAAATCGAATTTAATTGTCAGAATCGTTACATATTCAGTGACGTCATAATTATTTAAATGAGACGTGCCTGACGTCACGACATCATAACATCCCCGCGCTGCCCCGCAATCAAATTCAACATTCACGCATAAATTAGCATATTTTATAATGACACGCCCCCTCATTAACATAAGTTATGCTGGCCTGATGACATCACGATAAAATTAGCATATTTTATAATGACACGCCCCCTCATTAACATAAGTTATGCTGGCCTGATGACATCACGCATAAATTAACATATTTATAATACCACGGCCCCTCATTAACATAAATTATCGTTGCGTCGTGACGTCAGGCGCAGGAGGGGTGAGGCGGCCCAGGCGCCCCAAGGCGAGTTCGAAGCAGTCGTCGCGATGTGGCCACGTCGGCTCAAAGCAGCGATGGAGCTCGCCAACAGGCCGACAGATTTAGCGCCATTGCGTTAACGAACATCTACGAGACACAGGGACGTGGCGGCGGCGGTGGCGGGGCGACGGCGGCGGCGGCCAGGGAAGGGAAAGACGAAAGTTGGACCGACCGCAGTGCGGCACTCCGCCGGCGGAGGGGCACCTCGCCCGGCGCCCTGATTCAGGCAAGGCCCTAGGGGCCCGAACGCAGCTAGGCCGCGAGGGCGGTCCAAAAAAAAAAAAAAATTTGGACACAAATTTCTTTGCGTTTTGAGGCGATTGAACAAAAATAACGCAGACTCAGTCGTGAGCATTCGTCGCCAACAACTGAGAGCAAGCCCGGCGCGATGGAGTCGGCGAAGGTGAAGCTTCCTCGTCGCAAATGGGAGGTGTTCCCGGGAAGAAACAGATTTTGCTGCAATGGGCGCATCATGATGGCAAGGCAGTCGGGCGTTTTCTACCTGACTCTGGCTCTCATCACCATCACCAGCGGCCTCTTCTTCGCCTTTGAGTAAGTATTCATTCATTATAACCAGCGGCATCGGCATCATCGGTAGCAACATCATCGGTAGCAGGAGTCTTTCATCAGCAAGAATCACTTAAAATCACAGTCGTCATTGGCATCACGAGTCGCCCACTTATTTTCGCGTGATGCTCTTCATCATCATCGGCAGCAGCAGCAGCATCATTAGCCTGCTCATCATCATCATCGGCGGGAGCAGCAGCATCATCGGCGGGAGCATCAGCATCATCAGCGGTGGTGTCACTGTGATCATTGTAATCATCTTTGTCATCAGCTTTCACTTGCTGTCAGCATCATCAGCCTGCTCTTCATCATGATCGGCAGCAGCAGCATCATCAGCGGCGGTGTCACTGTGATCATTGTAATCATCATCATCATCTTTGTCATCAGCTTTCACTTGCTGTCAGCATCATCAGCCTGCACATCATGAGATGTGTCATTCTACACGTGCATCAATGATCGTTATGATTTCCATAGACTCGTAAGCAGCAGCAGGATTTTAAATCGGCGGCAGCACCAATCGACGCCACTCGTCACCAGCTTGATCGTAGTCTGCTTCGTTCAACACGTTCATTGTGATTCGTGAACACCGTCATCCGCAACAGCAGCGGATGATGGTATCACCACCACCACTATCATCGTCGGCTGCGTCATCATAACTGTTGGTCATCATTGGTGGACATCGGTTTCATTGAGCAGAATTATCTTTAAGTGTCAGGTAACCATCAATCCCAATCATATTCACTGCCACCATCATCATCACCACCACGTTTTAATGGAATTGGTTGAATCATCCTCTGAGTCGATCGATCCAGAGAGGATTCCTGGATAAGGCCCATCACTATATCATCGTTATCAGTGTCACCATAACCATCTTCACTGCCTTCTTCATCATCACCACTACCACCACTACAACTGGATTCATTGCGTTATTGCTTATACTGCCCTACTCGGCACCAACTACTCTATCCATCATTATCATATACGTCTCTTAACCTTATCGTAATCATGGCTTTCACCAGTGTCTTCCTAATTTATCATCATCATCATCATAACTGTAACCACCATGGCAATCATAAACATCTTACGGTGCATCTTGTAAGAGTTTTTAAGGTTCTGTGCATTTTGTTCAATGTTTTAAGTTGCGTTATTAATCACAATTATCCACACATGCAACGCCTGGGGATTTTCAGCTCCCTACCAAACACATGCAGACGCTGTGACAGCAGTGATACCCCCCCCCCCCCCACACGTTTGTGTGTTCAGTTTATTCCCCTCCGAATAGCACGGTTGTCTACGTACGGTGCGAAAGAAGTCCAAACTTACAGCACATAGAAAACAAGCGAATGGATGGGTGGGTGGGGGGCTATGGTGATGAGGGAAAATCGTCAACAGTGTTGCAGTAAGAACGCCAGGGAAGACACTGGATTGCAAAGTCCGTGACATTCATTGGGAGGCTGTTTGGGAGGCTGTCAATTATTGGCATGGATTTGAACGAGGTGGGAACGAGGTGGGAAAGAGCACTGAGAGCAAGCAAAGGACGAGGTGAGTTGTGGACTGTGGGAACAGCAGCAGAGGAGGAGAGCGAGACCTTCCAGTGAGCGGGAGATCAATTGATGGCAAGGGGTTTCCTTCTTAAGAAGCCTTGGTTGAACGGAGCATTGTGCCGATTGTGTTGTTGGTAATGGCGAGATGTTTTTTTTCGGCGCGGGCTGGTAAGTCCATCAGCGGAGTGCTGCTTTAGAGTACTGTATTGTGCTGTTCATATTGGCGTTCAGGCCCTATCGTAGACATCTTACGACCAAAAACGACAGATCTCGGAATCTGATCAGCTTTGCGCCTGGTTGACACTTTGATGAGCAGAGCACGTTTGCACAAATAGGCAGTCATAGGCTTCTGAACGGCTAAGTGGTGGTGGGTAGCAGTGGGCAGTGCCGCAAAAATCCATTGTTGTACTCTACCTATATGCGCCCCCCCCTCCCCGTGTCTATGCTCCCCGCCTTCACCAACGCACGCTGAACTGCCTGGTGTAGTATGGTCGAATAACTTTGGGGAAACTCAGGCGTTGAATATTTGTGCAGTGAGGTGATCCGGAGGGGGCAGTACAGCAACGGATTATGGAATCTATCCGTTCCTGGCTTCTGTGTGTTCTCCTTTGCGTGTGCGTGTGTGTGCGAGTTGTCCCAAGGGTTCCTCAAGTTTCAACGCGCACGAAGCCAGATGCGTGTTCATCGAATTGGCCAAACAAGCCAGTGCAGAACCCTGCTTCAAAACAAAAACAACAACGGCATCGTTATTATCTTGATGATTCTTCTTGGTTCTTTCGGTAAAGTCACGTAGAAGGGTGACTTTACCGAAAGAACCAAGAAGAATCATCAAGATAATAACGATGATGAATCCCTGCAGTCACGAAAGCTTTAAATCGAAATTTAAATCTTGATGATTATTATAACTTTCTGACTCACCCCTACTGCGCATCTGTGAAAGATGTGGCTATTGACCGGAGCCACGGATGGATTATTGCATTGTAGTATTGCAAGAGATGGCAGATTGCGGTGGGGGGAGGTTGGAGGGAAGGAGGCTTTCATCCAGCAGTGGATTGACCATGCCTGATGATTATTTTTGGAGCCAGCGCTCTGGCTGCATGTACGTATGTTGAACTTCCTTCGCACCGTACATAGCCAAACGCGCTAATCGGATGTGCCGGAGGAAGGGAAACAAACTAAACGCAAGAGCAAGCGGTTTGAAAGAAATGAGTGTTTCAGTCTAGATGATGATTTAGAAGTGCACAGTTCCCAGTGGCTTCCTAATATCGGAAGGGAAGAACGTTCCAGACGGCCGCCTAAGCGCGTTCGATCGCCGGCAAAAAGCCGCCGATTTGTGGAGGTAATTGGGTTTGAATCCGAGTAGAGTGTTGATTCTTTTTCTATTTTTGTCACAAACTGCACATTGTCTTGACATCTTGTCGGCCAGTTGGTGCCCAAAGTGTTTGCTAAGTCTGAACATTGCCGGCAACCACAGCAACGAAGCGATGACGAGCAAATAACAACTTGCAAGTCGACAGCCACTTGGCGGCCGACAGTTTTCAAACACATGTTTGGTTTACTCGAGATAAGGCCACCTAATTGGGCCTTGCCCCGATTAAGTCGGGGAAGGGGGAGTTAAAATGTTATGCACGCGTGCCAAATTTGAAGATAAATTCTGACTGAACAGATTGGCGTGGATAGGCCTGGTCGTGGATTTGGGCCAACGGCTACTACGATGGTGATGAAATTCAAGCAGGGTAGGAGGGGGAAAAAAAACCGCGCTTACGCATGGATTATGTAACACGCACGCTCCAGGATGTATTTGACTTGGGAAGTATTTAATTATCAGGACGGAATCTGGTGGGCAGGGCGAAACGCGTTTGTTTGCGAATGTTATTTTTTTTTCTCCAACTGTGGTTTGTCTCTCCCAAAGTTTCGACAACCCTTTGATGAACAATTCGGATGAATTTCCGTTTGGCTGAAGTCTTCCATTAGCAACTGAACTCTTGACTGAACGTTTGCGTCATATTTGGTTCAGTCTCCCAAGTTTTTGGCAGCCCTTTGATCAACGTGGCCGGTATTCTCCGGAGTAAGTCCCTTACAGCAACTTAAAATGCTGAATCTTTCTTTCATGTCGGATTATCCTTAACAAGAGGTGTGCGGCCTCATGTTACGGACGGACGGACAGGCGCGTTGCTTTTTCACCTGGAGTTGGAATAATAAGTGACCGGCACAAGGGCTGAACGATTTGGGGAAAATATCTAATTGTAAATTTTTCTGACAGCTATTGCGATTTGATTTGCGATTACATTTTTTAAAGTCAAGCTTCAGTTCAATATTCACTGTGTAATAGATGTAAAACATGTGATGGAGCATTACCACATGATACCATCAAAATATGAACTGCTCTATATATTCTGATGCAAGGATGAGAACTTAAAAGATATGAATTGCTTCCAACATGTATTTATTACAAATTTTAATAGAAATAGAACAATCAAACATAAAACAATTGTTAAGTAAAAAAAAAGTTATAATAATAAAAATAAAACAATTCCAATAAGAAAGTAAGAGGACTTTTCAAATCGCTAAAAATCGCAGCCTTTGCGATTTGCTAATCGCATTGTTTCATGTTGCGATTTCGATTTGAAATCGATTAATCGTTCAGCCCTCACCGGCACTGCATTGTCAGCGGGTGCGCAATCGCAAAGTTAATGGTGACGTTCATCAGATGGAATAGTTTTTAAATCCTTTATATTAAGTTCGCTTGCTTGCTTGCGTGCGTGCGTGCTTGCTTGCTTACGACCGTGCAAATCTTTCGGTCGTTTTTTAACCCACTTCCCGTGATCCAATCGAGCTGACATTTTCCACACAGACTCGTTGTGCGAGGCAATTAATTTTCGTGAAAATTTTTTTCCAAAATTTTACACTGTTTAAGGAAAAAAAATTCAATATTTAATTACCAATTGCTTAATGCTGGCAGATAATCATCTGACCCATAGGTGGCAGCCATCTCAAGCCGGAGGACGAGAGGACTCTAGCCGCCACGCATTTGAAGGATTTAGAGTGAAAAACTTTGTTTTTACGGGTTAATTTTTTTTTATTTGGCTTTGCTGCATTTCCCCACGAACCAGCAACAGCTCTCATGATATTGTGCAGGAGGAACCCGACCTATTTTCTGCTAATGTTGTTCGACTGAGTCACAGATGCCTTCGGGGAGGGAGGAGGGGGGGGCTTGCACGAGTTGCTTTGATGCATTATTCCACACTACTAGAAATGCCCTCTGAAGAAGCTTCTCCCGTCTTAGATCCGTGCTTTCGTCCCCAGTGGAGTTATTTTTCTAGAAACTGGGGTCGGCTACATGAAACAACCCAGGCGGTTTCCACATCATCATCAGCATCGCCAGCCGTGATCAAACCACTGTCGGATGAAGTCTTCCCCGAGCCTTTGCCCTCTCTCGCG